CCTCCATCGTTCGTGTCTGAATATACGGTGGAGGTGTTCTGATCCAAAGTTTCATTAAGGCTACTCATCGCCTCTTCCTCTTCCTACACAAATGTTAGCAGTAAATAATACAGACGATTGTTCTTCTATTACTTCCTATTTCTATAAATTATATAAATATATTTATATATATATATATATCTGTATGTATGTATGTATGCGTATCGGTTGTACTCTTATAACTTTCGGTTTCTTAATTTCTGCTTCTGATTCTCTGTTTCTTTTATGTTTCTTCTTTTATTCGTGATGAGCACTCAGGAAGAGCCCACACCCACCGCCCTTTCTTTCTGTGTGTCTGTGTGTCCCTGTCAATCCCTCTATTTCTGTATGAATGTTTGTACAAACGTTTCAAGACAACACACTCCACACCTCTCAATCGGTGGACTCACCCTTCTTTGCGTTTGCTGCGTTTGATTTTTGCATAAGAAATTGTGCCAAAACAAGACACGCACGCACGCACGCACGCACACACACACACACACACAACCAAAACAAACAACAAGGAGCAAAGAAGAAGAAAAAAAAAAAAAAGACTGCGTGTAAGCAAAAACACAATAATACACATCCCCCTTAGAAGGTTGACCCGCAGGCAAAGAAACACCTGCCATCACACACACACACACAAACACAAACACAAAAAAAAATAATGAGAGGGAGGGAAAGAATGAAAGGCTCCGCCCAACTGCGGAAAACGTATATATTTGTGGGACTTCTCTCTTTTCGTAATTTTGGCGCTTTTTTTTTGTTGTTGTTTTTTAGTGAAAGTGATTTTATTTTGTTCCTCCTCTTTTTTTCTCTTTTTCCTTTTCGTCTTTAAGAGCAACGTCCTGCAGTCTCTGCTGTAACTCTCACTCTCTCCCTCTCCCCCTACCCGCTCAAGGCATACAACGGTCACGTCCCCCTGTTTACACCCATATTACTCCCATAGAAGGAAAAAACCTCCTCCTGCTGTTCGTAACGCTCTTGTCCTTTTGCATCCCTCCTAATTTACATGCATGCATGCAAATTGAGCGTTAGTCCCCCCAGCTGGGCGAGCGCGAGCGGCCGTGGTGTCTTGGTCTCGAGGACGAGCGTCGCCGCTTACGCCGTCGTCTCTGCGATAACGATGAGGAATGTCTTCGACGTGGAGACACGGAAGGTGATGATGAAGAATATGAAGAATGTGAATATTGTCTGTGCCTCCGCGAAGGTGAAGATGAACGCGATGCAGAGCTCGAGGGATGCCGTCGCGGGGATCGCCTTCTATCCTGTCGCCTTGAATGACGATCATCTTCGTATTGTCTTCGTCGGTGACTCAGCCCTGCGCTCTCCCTCTGCCGCCACCCGTCGTCATTATCGCTGCGTGGCCGACGTGCCCGGTCCCAACGATCCACGGGCCGTGGCACCCTGTCCACCACTTTATTGCTGTGGTTGTTGTCATTTCTGGGGGCATCGCCAATCTTCGCAAAGGAGACATTGATACGGTTACCGTCAATAACAGTGCCGTGGAGGTGAACATACACCAGCTTCGTGTCTTCCAGCGTGTCGCCAACGACCTCCGCCCGGCCTGTTGGACAGGAAAGCCAAAGCACGGGCGTGGGCATCGTCACTCGGCGTATCTTCGCAAAGGGCTCGATTAACTCGCGTATATGAGCCTCCGTAACGCTAGTGGGTAAATTAGACAGGCGGGCCACAACATCCACCGCCATGTTTTTTGCGGGTATTGTTCCTATTGTCCATGCGGCAATGGCGATGTTCATGCAGTCATGATAGAAGCAACAAAAACATTGCCACAACCAAAAAAAAAAAAAAAAATAATAATAATAATAATAATGAGAAATAACAGCAGTCAATGCACATACCCAAAACATTCATTCATACCCGCACGCACGGAGATAAAAAGAATGAGAGACTCATTCATGCAAACACACACAAAAAGACACATCTGACACACGTTCAATGCCAGCTGCCAAAGCATCAATAAAATTAAATAAACAACAAAAATAATGTTTGTTGCTTTACTTTTTCCTTCTCCCCTTCACAAGGTAAATGAAGAAAAAGCATTCTTCAAACCTCATCCTTCGCTGGGCCGCACACCCACCTGTGAAAATCACTGAAAACACTCTTGAGTTTTCTCTAACAATTCTCGATAGGCCGGTGTGGCCCGTATCTGAGGAAGAAGCACAAGCAGCCCCCCCACAAAATGGCCCTGCGAACGGCATCCAATCAAGGTCAGCATGCAACACCCATCAAGCGACTGGACCACCGTGGCATCGTGGTACTGCAGACTTATATACGAAGGAATGCCCAATTGCAGTTGCTCCAAATTCTGGAAACAGTGAGCTCCGCTGAGCACCACGTTGCTTTCAATGGTAAGGTCATCATCGACACCGGAAGTACCATCGTTTGCGGCACCTTCCTGCCCCTCCGGCTGTTTTGAGCTCCCAAAGCACGCCATAATTGTGTTTCCCTGCCGGTCGGAAACAACCACCTGCGTGAGAAGACGCATATTGATGAGCTGATTAAAGTACTGCTCTACCGCCGTTACCGGACCCTCCATTGTTTTATTCTTTTTATTTTCTTTTCAGTGCGTGTGTGTGTGTGTGGCAGTCGTCGTGTCTTCCCACGCGTCACGGACAATTATCTGCAAAATAAAAGAAGAGCAAAAACAGTACATAAAACATAAAACCACACAAATAAAACCACACAATTACACACACGCAGTGAGTCTTCAGAATCCTCCGCAGCCTTAGCAATCACCGGCCACCCGACGCGGAAATTGTGTGAGAGAAGATGAAATCAAAAAAATATTTCTTCATCGGATGATTTATTTACACGAACTCCCCATGGTTCAGTACGTTCCGCGTCCACAGATGTTCCCTCAGAAACAGTTGTTGAATCCTTCTCAGGGATGATGCTAGGGCCTTCTTTAAGGTAATAGTTCAGCAATGTATGTTGCGCCGCCTCATTCATGGCTTCCATCAACGTCTCGCCCTTGCCTTGGCCAATACAACGCGTTCCCGCATACAGTCGACACACCGTGTACTCCACCTGTCTAAACTGTTGTCGAGAATGCAACGATGCATATGGATTGGTTTCATGCACCTCCGTAACGCGACGAACCACCTGATCCACGTCGATCGGTGCAGAAGACAACACTTTCGGCACATTCGGATCATAACGAAGAATAATTTGAGCTTCTTTAAGGGCATTTTGAGGGCGTATGCAATGCAACACAGCAGGGGGTGCCTCCTTGTGATGTCGAGTGACCCGGTAATCATCAAAGATGTCATCACGGAGACTTTGCGTTGCATGTGCCCCACCGCTAGATGCAAACTGATCCCGGCGAGCATCTGCACGGGTATTTAACGGATGCGTCCGCTCGGACAACACCTCCAATTCATCTTCGGTCATGTGTCGAAGTTTCTCCAGTTCCTCCTTAATGCAATTCGCTAACGTCTGCCGCTCATGAAAATCACTGTGACTCCCTGGAGGGGACGACATCTTGTCATTTTCAGAAGTCGCCTTGTATTGCAGAAGTTCCTCCGTCAATCTTTGTGCATTGTCCACTATCTGAGACACGTGCAGGAAGGATCCCAACTGACTGCAAAACAACTTCCTGATCAACGGCTCCACTCGAACCCCATCACCGGACTGCTCCGCCATTTCAATAAAGGCGACAAAGGCAAAAACGGAGCCCCGTATCCATTCCATCCGTGGAATCAAATCTTCCTTGTGTACAGGAAAAAGTTTCAGTCTCCCAGCGGCAGAGCGAAGAACTCCCCGCCAATACCACCGTCGCTGCTGTGGCACTCCCTTCTCAATGCGTTGCAAATGTGCAGCTGCTTTGCGGCGTGCAATGTTAAACCGTTCCGTCAATACATTCAGCTCTCTCCACATACTTATTTCCCCACTCACATTACACATATCTGCAAATCCTAGTCGAAGCGCTACGCGTCCACATGCCAAAAGCCCACAGCACTCATGAAGAAGAGCCTGAAGGTGTTTTGAACGAAGCCGAGGAAACGCCTCCTGAGCCATACTCGCAATGCAGTTTTCAACGAGAGCCTTTCCTCGATTTGAAAGAATGCCGTGAACGGGGGAATCCAGAGGCGTTCTGTCTAATAGACGCCAAATGGTATCGATATCTCGAACCGTCAATCCTCCACGAGCCCTAGAGACGTGTTCTTCGCATCCTGACATTTCCCTTGCGGCCGAAAGACCAATGGCATAAAGTGAAGATTCTTGCTGACACGGCTCGACCTCCTGGGGATCTTCAAGTTTCGACAAGGTCGATGCGGACAACACCTTCGCCTTCTTTAACAGCTGTTCCAGAGGTTGCAAGTGCTTTGGCGTGAAGGATATAGACTCTGAAAACAGTCCATCCTTTTCACACACCTCAAGCATACAACGGAATGCGTCTCCCACACTGCGTTCCGCAGGGACCGTGGCAAGCACAATCGACCCACGCCGCTCCGCCACCTTTCGAAGCCGTCTCTGCTCCTTGTACTTCTCATACAAGGGGTTATTGGACCGCAGTGAACTGTGCACATCGTTTGGATTCACGGGCATCACTAGACGACGTGGACGAAAACGTGGGCGGTACTCCGCACCACCCGCCCGGTTGGTCGCCTTTGCCCGCAAGACTGCCAAACCCCGCCGCATTTTGCTGATGCAAACAAACAAAAAAAAAAAAAAAGAATGAAAAAACAAAGAAAAAAGAAAACTCCGCCAGAATAAAAAATAAACAACGCTATCATACAAAGTTAACAGCAGAAGTAAGGGAAATTAAAAAAAAAAAAAAACATGGTTCCGCACATACACAGCATGCTTCTTTTCCCTCTACCGTCTTTCTCTCCTTCTAGTATATAAAGAAAAAAAAAAAAAGTTGCATGATGCATGATGCATAAGCGTCTGATTTTTTCTTTTTTTTTTTTTTTTTTTTTTTTTTTTTGCGGCATCTGCTCTTTTGTTTGTCGGGTTTATGTTTTTGCCTTCAGCCGTGACTTTTCTTGCTGGACGCGGCACTGCTTCTCCGCTGCCATGCGTGCCTTCTCCGCCTTTTGCAACTCCCGCTTTGCGGCGGCAAGTGCGGTGCGCCACCCCGCGAGCTCCTTGTCAAACTTCAGGCGGAGTTCGTTTGCTTCCCTCTTTTCCTCCTCCAGCTGTGCGATCCGCGCCTCGACCTGCTCCCGTTGCTGCGCCGCCATCTTCTCCGCGTCCTCCACCGTGTAACTCTCAAAGAAGTCGCGTAACTGAGTGTTATATGTATCGAGTTGGCGCCGGAGTAACACCATGCCTTCCTCCGTCATTTGTCGCTCCCGTCGCGTGAGGGCAAGTCGCCCCTCGAGCAGCTCCACCTCCCTTGTCACTTGCTGAAAGCCACGCATCAGTTCGTCCAAATAACTTTCACGAACCTTCCAGCCTGCCTGATAGGCCTCGTAGGCCTCATCGAACTGCTTCTTTTTCATTTCCACCTCCTCGCGGAGACGGTTGTTCTCCTCCATCAGGGCCATAACAGTCTCCTTCCGCTCATCGCAGTTCACCCGAATGTCTTTCACACTATTCTCTACCTTTTGCTGCACGCCAATACGATGTTCCTCCATCTCTTTTCTGGCCTCCTCTGTGAGCATAGCCCGTCGCTTCGTTGCGGCCTGTAGAACCTTACACAAACGTTCCGCCTCCGTCTTTGTTTCATTTGCCCGCCAAATATCTAATTGCAGCTCATCCACCTCCTTGTTTGTAGCCGTGACTTTCTTTTTGATAGCAGCCAGCTCCGACTCCTTCTTCTTCACCTTCTGAATCTCCGCTTGTAGCACATTCTGCACATGAGATTCCCCTTTTTCGGCAAGGAGAGAACTTACAAACGCTCTGGCCTCCGTTTCTCTCTTCTGATTACCTTGAATCTGTCGTAGAGCGTCGACGGCGCCGTCCACCGGCTGTCCACCACCGGGGGTCGGCAGTCTATTTTCCTCCCTCGGCTTAGGAGAGACCGCTGTGGCGGCGGTGGTGGTAGGGGCGGCCGCTGCTTCTCCGTTTGCGGCGTCCACTCCCTCTCTCTCGCCGGTGCGATGAGTCATTTCCTCGTGTGACTTACGTCCCTCTCTTCCTCCTCCTCCTCCTCCACCCCGTTGTTGTTGTTGCTGTTGTTGTTGTCGGGCTTTTCCCTTCCCGTCCAACGCTGGCAAATTCACTGGTGTCTCCCAAACCCACAGGCTCTCTCAGTCGTCATGCAAACAAAAGGAGGGGAGAGAAAAGAAGATGTCGGGATGCAGAGAAAAAAAAAAAAAGAACAAATACACACACAAAAATGCGAGCAACTAAAAGAAAAACAATAACAAAAAAAAAAAAAAAAAAAAAAATAAATAATAAAAAACGGTCCACACACACACACTCTCTCCCTCTCTCTTTCTCAAAAAGATCCCGCAAAAGAAACGCACTACAAAATGGACTCAGACACACCCTTCTTTGCCGCGATAACCCGCTCATAGTAAATCACAACCAACCAGCTGATAATCGCCTTCAACACCAACATGGCACCCACGTACAATGCCATACCAAACAAGAACTCCACGGAACGAATGGGTGTCACGCAAAACCAGGCATCCAGATATGTGATGAAGCGACGAATGTATCCAACCCTTCCACGACGCAGCGCCTCCGCCACTAACAAATAGCTTTCCCATTGTAATAGAATAGGTGGTTTGCGATTTCGAAGTTCATGGTAACAGTTGTACACAACTCGCCAATCAAAAGGGGTCATATTGAGATAAACCCGCATAAGTGAATTGTATGTCATGGCCGTCAAATGTTTCCCACGTCGATCCCGTGAAATGTGATCAAACACTTCAACTGCCTTTTCCCACTTTGGTGGGTTTTCCATCGCAAGAGACGTGATGTACAACTCATAGTTTTTTGTATTCGGCGATTGGCCACGCTTTACCATCTCCTCAAACATCTTCTGGCACGCCTCAGGCATCTCACGTTGTATACACATGTGCATCAAAGTGGCGTATGTATTGGCTGTGGGGGTCATACGACGATCGATCATGCGACGGTAGAGTTCCATGCTGGCTCGTAACTGGCCACCGTCCATTAATTTCATGAGATGTACTTCATTCGTTTTGGCGTCCACACGAAGTCCGCCAGCCTCCGCCCCTCGTACCGCTGCAAGCGCCAAAGCGTGATCTTTTGGCTGTAACTGCTCCAAATAGCGACGGAGTTGAACGTTACTGGCGGTGCGGGCCAGAACCGACAATCGAAATGTCTTTTCCACTTGCTCCGGCGTCGTGGCCTCCACATGTGGTCTCCCTATCGTCACAGTCCGCGAGTCCTCCCCAGACCTCCACAATTCGGACGACGACGACGCTGGTTTCACGTGCGACATCTCCGCACGAGAGGCAGGCGTCGCACCTCCCACTCCTGACGTCGAGAACCACCGCACCGCGTGAACAAATCGTGAAACACGTGGCCAACAATACGCATCGCTAAAAACCCGCATCCCACCGCACACACAGTGGGCAAAGTGAGAGGGCGAATGGAAAAAGACAGCAGTCATCCTCTTCCCTTCTCGAGGGTCACAGACCCTCTTTGACTATTAAAATTACAATAATAATAATAATTTTAAAACAAAACAACAAGAATCATGCACACGCACAGCAAAAAAAGGAGAAGAAAAAGAACCAAAACAAAGCGGTATCGGAAACTCTCCCTCCATACAACCCAAAAACACAAGCACGCACGAATCATCCATGTACGTTCCTAAATAAAATTATCCCATCAAACAACAGTAATAATAATAATAATAATAATAATAATAATAAACAAAAATAAATTTATTTATTTTATTAATAATTATTCAATAGAGTGACCCTTTTTCTCGTCTGTGCTCAAGTCACACACACACACACATGCACATGTGCCAACTCAGCCTTGCAGCACGCCGAGCAGGGAGTCCTCGTTGTAGAGGAAGAACTCCTCGCCCTCCACCTTCACGCTGCTGCCTCCAAATTCAGGGAGCAGCACCGTGTCGTCCACCTTCACGGTGGGCGTCCAGTCCTTCGTCGCAGCGGCAACTGCGACCACGGTGCCCTCGTTCACCTTGCCGGCAACCTGCTCAGGGATCAGCACGCCGGCCTTCGTCTGCTTCGCCGCAAGAGTGCGCTTCACCAGCACACGCTGGCCCAGCGGCTGCAGCTTCTTGAGAGCAGAGACGGTGGTGCGGAACATTGGCGAAGTGATGTGATGCGTCTGTTTCGGAAAAAGAAGAAGAGATAAATTCTTTTTTTTCTTTTTTCTTTTTTTTTTCGGTGTTTGCGTGTTGTTGTGGCAGTCGCTTTGTGTTCTTCACATTTGCGCAGACACGGGTGGAAACAAAAAAAGAAAAAAAAAGGGGGGGCACAAGAGAGGAGAGGAGGGGATGGAGGGAATGCCACAGAGACACCGGCGGAAGACAACCATCACAAGAAAAAGAAAAAAAAAAAAACAGCTGCAAACAAATAATCCAATGCGGCGCTAATTCTAAATTCCAAGTCGTTATTATTATTATTATTATTTGTGACGCTTTTGATGGAGTCGATATGACAAAACAATAAAAATACAAATAAAAATAATAAAAAAAAAAGGTAAAGATGTATAAGTGTATATAATTACACAATGCCAAGTATAAAACAGGTCGCACACACCGTATCAATATGTACAGAGAGGTGTATGGTCTCTCCGCCCTTCAAAGCACAAGAAGGGCTCGAAGCAGTGAAAAGAAAGCGCCTGAATTTAAATAAAATGTCTCGTTCTCTTCATTGATGCAAATAAGTGTCTCGGAATTCCCTTCTTGAATCATCGAATCGTTTGTCTCATTCATCGTATAGCGATTGTTCGCAAGAGCTGCCACCGTTCCTTTCACTTCCTCCTCAGTCCAGTCCAAATAACGGTGCTCACGGAGAACTGTAAGAAGGCGCGACAAACTCACGGAACCTGTTCCCTCAATGTCGGCAACACCGTGCAGGCGCGCCGGAAGTGCCGCATCGCGCCTCCACGCTTCACGTAATTTTTGTCCTTTCAGACGAGGAGCCAATAGGTGGCTGTCGGCTTCCATCTCCTGAAATGACCTGCATAAAAAAGAAGAGCTCCCAGAATCCACGGTGAGGGTTTTATTTGACCCCACGGCGGAGGAATTCCCCACTTTTCCCTCAGTTATGGAACTGACGGATATATCTGCTTCTTTCATCTGCAAAATTCCCTTCTCCAGGACATCCATCTCCCTCTCTTTGTACAACAGGGGCAAGTTAACGCACAAATAAGAACGTGCCCGTCGTATACACTCCCATAGGGAAACTATCTCACGCCCTGCCCTTGCGGTCGAATCGGTGTGCCCCACCCGCGAAGGAACAGAGGAGACGTTCTCTTTATTCATATACTCCGTGGGCATCGTAGGAGTCGGCAGCTGACCTCTCACATTTTCCTTTTCCCTCAGCTCGGAAAGGGGAATATTGACACTAGAAGTGATGGGAGAAGAAGAAATCGTGTTTCTCCTGCCTCGCTGCGGCGCAAAGTTGTGCCGTTGAGGTGTGTAGGAGGGCGTCGTGGACTCGTGTAACGGCCGGCGTCTTGAGGAATGTTCCACGCAACGAACATCACTGCCACCGTCTTTAGTAGAGTCCGCTTTCAACACAATCCGCAACGAATCAAAATCCAGCGTGATGTCCCCATCCTCACATACGGTCTCCTCCACACCACCCAACACTTGTCGGACGAAGGCACATAACACCGGTTGATTGCCTGCCACTCCTCTACCAACGCCACCGTTGGACCGACGCCCAATTGCCACAGAGCCCTCTTTGGACGCATCCGCCAGCACCACACCGTCGTCACTCGCCGCGCTCATTGACAGAAGGGGACCCTGGTAGTGCTTGACCAGGCGGGGATCATCCACATCTCGCAGACCCGATACCAAATTGCCACGCCAGCCCATTTATTGTACGGCTGCAAGTATTTTGCAACCAAAGAAAAAAAAAAAAAAAAGGAAAAAACAGAAGCATTACAAAAAACGGCACCAACAATAAATAAATAAATGAAACACGTGCGAGCAAAAAAAGATATGCAAAAAAAAAAAAAAAAAAAGGGAAACCAGTTATGAGTGAAAAAACAGCACTATGGATTTTTAACAGCCGCCTCCGACGGATGTGCCGTGCACCGCACACCAACGCAAAAACGTCCGTCAAATCATCCACAGCTGAATCACCACAAGAATCACAAATAAATAAATAAATAAATAAATAAATAAATAAATAAATAAATAGGAAAACAAATAAAAAATAAATGGTGCGATCCTTTTATCATCTGTGCTCAAGTCACACACACACACACACACATGCACATGTGCCAACTCAGCCTTGCAGCACGCCGAGCAGGGAGTCCTCGTTGTAGAGGAAGAACTCCTCGCCCTCCACCTTCACGCTGCTGCCTCCAAATTCAGGGAGCAGCACCGTGTCGTCCACCTTCACGGTGGGCGTCCAGTCCTTCGTCGCAGCGGCAACCGCGACCACGGTGCCCTCGTTCACCTTGCCGGCAACCTGCTCAGGGATCAGCACGCCGGCCTTCGTCTGCTTCGCCGCAAGAGTGCGCTTCACCAGCACACGCTGGCCCAGCGGCTGCAGCTTCTTGAGAGCAGAGACGGTGGTGCGGAACATTGGCGAAGTGATGTGATGCGTCTGTTTCGGGAAAAGAAGAAGAGATGAATTCTTTTCTTTTTTCTTTTTTTTTCGGTGTTTGCGTGTTGTTGTGGCAGTCGCTTTGTGTTCTTCACATTTGCGCAGACACGGGTGGAAACAAAAAAAGAAGAAAAAAAAAAAAAAACGGCTGCAAACAAATAACTCGGCAAACCAAAAAAGAAAAAAAATAATAATAATTTGTCATTTATGAACAATATAATAAAAAGAAGCTAACAAAAAAAGTATAGTTTTCCAACGGCCGCAATGTATGACGGGGACCCATCACCCGGGATGCCCTGAGCAAGGAAGCACAACTCCGCCAACTGATTCCCTCGAGATTCCGGTGTGGAGGCAATGACAGCATCTCTTGACGAATCTTCCGCAAAAAATAGAGCCACGGCCACAGATTGGTGGCCCATTGGAGTCTCTCGAATGTAATCAATATGAAGACGTCGGAGGAGCAAATCACCGACAATGGCATCTACGCCCACATCCAGCAAACGGGGGAAGACGGTAGTTTGGTCAAGCAAAGCAGATCGGAAGGTGTTGATGACAAATTGAATAAGAGCCATCTGATTGACGTGCCTGTTGAAGTCTATATCACTTTGTCTGATATGAAATTCGCGACGATAGGTCACAGTCAACGGTGTGACTGAGGCGTACGTGGCCATCTTGTCTACCAGTTTGCAGTACGTCGTATCCGTAAACAGCCCCGAACGTGACAAAAAATCGGCAACATCAATGCGGACAACCAATGGAAGGCTTGTGTTAAGCTGATGTCTTCGCATGGTCTCCAGCAGCATCTCCGCTCGTTCCTTTGGGATAGGCACTGGTCGCCGACTTTTTTTGGAGACATTCACACCGGTGAGTTTAAATACACCAATGGGGAATTTGTTCTTTTCATCCGCGGCCTCGTAGCGGAAGATCTTGCCGTAGACGCCAAAGCTGCTTTTGCCAACATGCGAGATCCAAAATTGTCCCAAGAAGAAAACAGATGCGGGCGTAATTTTGCCGTCAAACTTCGGAAATTCGCCCACCAGCTCCACGTCCACACCGGCAAAAAAGACAGTGACGTCCTCGCCAGACTCCACGTAACCCTCTTCGACCGCCTCGCTCGCGTAGTTTGAGTGGGCATCGCCACTGTGGCGGTTGTAACACCAGCCGTGCTCCATCGCAAACCGCATCCCAAAATTCGCAAGGCGATTCACCGTCGTCACATCAATTTTATCGTGCTGCAACGGAACAAACGGACTCACTGGAATGTGATAACTGATGGCTGATCCATCGGTGTCCACCATAAACATTTTTTTTTGTTGTTGTTTGTTGTTATTTTTTCGCTTATAAAAATAAAAATAAAAAAAATAAAAAAATGCTAATCTTTCGTATTTTTGATCCCGCAGCGATAAACGCACCTACGTATGTACTTACGTATGCGTGCACGTAATTCCCTTCCTTTTTGGATGAACACTTCCCTCCCATACAATGATACACCACGCATGCACACGCACAAACATAAATAAAAATAAAATAAAATGGAAAAGTTGCAGGTTAAAAACAAAGCGGTATCGGAAACTCTCCCTCCATACAACCCAAAAACACAAGCACGCACGAATCATCCATGTACGTTCCTAAATAAAATTATCCCATCAAACAACAGTAATAATAATAATAATAATAATAATAAACAAAAATAAATTTATTTATTTTATTAATAATTATTCAATAGAGTGACCCTTTTTATCATCTGTGCTCAAGTCACACACACACACACATGCACATGTGCCAACTCAGCCTTGCAGCACGCCGAGCAGGGAGTCCTCGTTGTAGAGGAAGAACTCCTCGCCCTCCACCTTCACGCTGCTGCCTCCAAATTCAGGGAGCAGCACCGTGTCGTTCACCTTCACGGTGGGCGTCCAGTCCTTCGTCGCAGCGGCAACTGCGACCACGGTGCCCTCGTTCACCTTGCCGGCAACCTGCTCAGGGATCAGCACGCCGGCCTTCGTCTGCTTCGCCGCAAGAGTGCGCTTCACCAGCACACGCTGGCCCAGCGGCTGCAGCTTCTTGAGAGCAGAGACGGTGGTGCGGAACATTGGCGAAGTGATGTGATGCGTCTGTTTCGGAAAAAGAAGAAGAGATAAATTCTTTTTTTTCTTTTTTCTTTTTTTTTTCGGTGTTTGCGTGTTGTTGTGGCAGTCGCTTTGTGTTCTTCACATTTGCGCAGACACGGGTGGAAACAAAAAAAAGAAAAAAAAGAAAAAAAAAGGAGCAGAAAATTTTAAAAAACAAAAGACAAAAAGAAAGCCAACATAAAAAGGAAGCATGCCACCAACACCACCACCGCCACGGTCAGCAGCGGCACCAGAAAAGGGCCTTTTCAACATTCCTTTATGTGAGTGACATTTACATAAAGGCAGCTACGCCATTTGTACATGAACAATAAAAAAGAAAAAAATAACAAGAAGAAACAGGGAAACGTACACACACACACACAGACAGAGAAAGGGAGAGAAAGAGAGCGGGAAAGAAAGGTAACCAAAAAAAAAAAACACCTCCATGGCAAAAGAAACCCGCACCACACATGTGTGTTACGTGTGTTCTTCATGCATGAAATCCCTCGTATTCTACTTTACATGAGAACGGATGTCTGGCAAAAAGTATATCTGCGGCAAGTAGTCTTTGCTCTCGTGCAGAAATTTAATAAGTTCATACTGCACCTGGCGAGCAAAGGAACTGCTCTCCGCTGTGAGTTCATTGAGGTTCTTCTTTCGGCATTCGTCAGAGAGAATAGACTGTTCAGTGAGGAACTCAAACGCACGAGCCTTCGCATCTATCAAATCCCTATGATCCCGCATTTTCTCCCGCAGTTCCCGGTAAAATACCGTAAATCGATCATAAAAGAAAATTTGGAGTTTTGGTAAACGCAGGTACTCCAGTAAATTCAAGCCACTACCATTACCAGTGTCGTTATGAGAACATCCCTCATGTTTACTGCTTTGATGGCTCGATTCATCGCGGTTGGCAATACGGGCCTCTTCGTAGCGGTAAATGAGGTTAAGCAAGGACTGCGGCATACCAATAAGACACACGTAGTTATGCATCTCCGGTGCACCATTGCCAAAGTACACCACCGCATCAATAAGGTGCGTCTGCTCGTCAATGTAAATCACAAAGAGGTTCTGTTCGGGTATCCGCGTTGGGAGGTCTTCAATGTTCATGGATGGTGATGCTTCCAACTCCTCCATAACCGTCACGACGGGCTTATTCTCCTCAATGTTGGAATAAAAAAGCCGCAGGCACCGTTCCGGTTTAAACTCAATCGATCGAGAGCAGAAAAAAACGTAATTCATAGGAAGGCGAATGCGACTAGCCACGGGAGAATTGTACGTTGGCAACTTCTTTTGCAGCTCTGCTATGTTTTTTTTACCTTTCTCCGTCGATAGTGCACCGCCGCCCATTAAAAAATCCGCTCCATTACTGCCGTTCTCCTGCAGAACCCTCTTGTATAACTGATTTTGCGCCGCCGTAATCTCCTCTTCTTTATCGCCCACTTCACGAAAGTTCTTATCGGCAAACTCCTCAAGACCAAAAACACCGAGAAGAATTTCCGCCAAACTTGTCCCCACATCACGTGTATTAAAATCTTCAAAGCCCGGGGTTGTGCCGTAGCGGCGCGTAAACATCGCCACAGGTCCGGCGGCGTACACACACTTATCTGTTGTCCGGTAATTTGCCTCAACAATGACACGCCCATCAAAAACAATCGAACGTCGATTCAAAGTGGAAAGTACATGACTGTCAATGTCCTTGTCTTCACAGCAGACGATAAGACTGCAGCCCAGTTCCACGGAGTTTGAAATACCCGCTGTATTATCTCGATCGCCTCCCTCCTCCGAGACCAAAACTGGAGACACCACGACAGTTGTCAGAGCACTGCCATCATCGTCATATTCTAATCGAGTAACATAGTAACCACGCAAGGTATTTATACCTAATGAGTTACACAACTTCACAGCACAGTCAAATGCATCCTTGTCCAAAAAAGGGTTCGACGTCTCTGGACTTACCACGACAATCCGTTGCGGAGAGAAGCCAAGGCTAACAATAGACGTCGCAGTCGCAAAGGCATCTAACCCGGAGCCGTAAACAATAACATTGCTGATATTATGTGGATTTCGATCCAAATCATGCAAGTGTTGGCGTAGTTTTTCAACAGAAGATTCTCCAGAAAGTGCCAGCGTGCCTTGTGGTACAAAACCACGTTGATTATGAGACAGTGGCTGTTGAATCAATTGCTGCAAACAACATATGGAGTTTGGCACAACGTACTGGCGTCCTGTTGTAAGAATCACGTAATCGTACGGCTCGAATGTACCGTCGTCAATGCTTACATATTTCTGTGTTGTGTCAACATCCATGACAAGACCATGAACCACACGGACAGGGTTTCCAACGAAAAGACCCATTTGTTCCCGCTCAAGCAACTCCATGTGGTCCGCAAACCATAATAAACTTTGCTGATTCGGATGTGCAGGCATCCCATCGGTGGAGACGAGCACAATATTTCTAAAGTGCACATATGGAACGGATAGAAAACGATGAATACAAGCCAAACCCGTAGAGCCGGCACCAACGACAATAATGCGGGTATTTATCATTTTCTTTCGGTCTCCAATTATCCGTCGGGTACCGACGAAAAGACATCCCAGCGCCACCGGTTCTTTTCCATCAATTTTTTCACCCCCCTGTGACCCCATCTCTGCAACAGCCATCGGCGTCTTCTCCTGCACGCGACGGGGTGGGGCACGGAGTAACTGCCGCAGCAACGGTGGGAACGGCGAGGCCTGGCCATCTTCCAAGACAAGTGCCACCTCACAGTTCGTGTGGCGTAATATCTCTCGGAGAAAAAAAGAAATATGACAACGATATACGGGCTTTATGTAAAAAAAGCGCACCATCACGGCCTGCATCTCTCCTCGAAAAAAATTTCTTCGTCCCTCTTCAGCGTTGAGGTGAATGTCCGTCACCGAGTAGTCCCTCGGACCACCAACGTAGTAATTGACAAAGACATCCACAGCATAATTGGCGCGCAACGCGTACATCTCTCCCACCTTCACTCGCCGTGTTGAGGCTACCCCAACAATGAACGCCTCACCCTCTCCACCAAGACGAGACTGCAGCATAAACGACTTCGAGTTTTGTGGCAAATTCTCACGAGATGTATTCTCTTCACTGCTCACTCTGATGTCTTCCAACAATGTCGCGATGTTTTTTTGAGAAAATTCCACAAATGGCTCATTAAGAAATGCCGAGATACTTTCCACATCGTCGTCTTTAAGCACCGATTGGATCCAAATGGGATCGGCTGCGTATCGGCAATAAATCCATAGTCCCTGTGGAATAGGAATCACCTCTCCCCTTGCGTTCCGCGGCTGATACCTCCGCAGTGGGACATGCTCAAATTGCTGCAAAAACGGTGGCTCGTCTTTTTCATGTGGGAGGATGATCATGGCGTACTCGACGTACGGGAACTCTTGAAAGACAAAGGGCAGAAATTGATCGGCACACATGGCGTATTGGGGGTCAATCTGGAAAAAACTAATTTTCACCACATTTGGGGTATCCAAGGTAGAAAAATTTCCAGTGTCCTGTCTGTTATTCATAGGGCGAAGTTTGTCAAACATCTCCGTCATATACTGCCGTGATACCCTCTGCTGATCTTCAATGGTCGCCTCAAGGCACATGATGCCAACCACACGGTGACTTACGGCATCTTCAGCAATAATGACTTTGTGAAAGGCGTCTTGATCTTTAAGTAGCTCATCCAGATAAAACTCCTCTGGTAGTGCAGTGATGAGCCCATACCCCCTTAACATTTCTGGAACAAAGTCATCGTAGTCCTCCATAATTCCCAAGCGGAGTTGAAGCCGTGGCACCACTTTCGAAGCAAAAATGCGAAGTAAAGAACCTTCAAAAAAACAACCCGAGAGAGAAATCGATTTTTTTCCAAGGCACTCAATTGGCGGGTATTTGCAGTCCAAAGGAAAAGGAACAAGCAGTTGCATCACCCCTGGCATATTGATAAGCGCCGTAGACAGCAATTCCGAAATCATATCCTCCTCCTCGTAGCCAAAAAGTAACAGTTTTCTCTCCGTCCTTATGGCATCTAAATCACGTGGGTCAAGAATATGCGACAGAAAAGCACTGGAAGGAGGTGCAAGAAGAGATTTCAACCAGAGTGTGTTGTACGGTGCAATTTCCACACCGGCATCATCACTGTCATTATTGTCCTCGTTGTGCTTCAGTGTGTTTTCCCAATTTTCTGCAAGAATAGAAGTTACATGTGGTATGTCATCCAGACAAACAAATCCTGCCACCCTTCCGGTAATTTTAGACGTTGCGGTAATGCAAATAACGGAACGTTCAATGAGGGCCAGAAAGTCTGCCTCCGTCCTCCACGGGAATAACGCCACGGGAGGGACGCATGGCGTAACTGTGCCAAGTCGTGTAAGTTGTGCAATGGCCGCCGCGTCGGTGGAGCGACTGCGCCGCAGGACCACGTGAAGATCCTTCTTTGCGCTCGTTTCTTGCATACAAATAAACCAAACTTTTCTCCCTCACAGACTCCTCTCACCCCACACCCCTTGCCGTTTCCCTTTTCTGTTTTATTTTTCCTTTCCTTTTTTGTTTCTCTTTATTCTAATTTTGTTCTGCCTGCGTCGTTCTGATCCCCGCCCGGGCCCTTTTGTTTGTTTTTTATTGTCTCTCTTCTCGTGCCTTCTTTACTGCGCAGGCCCCACCACGCCTGCACTCCTCCTTCGATCCCTCGCAGCCCAACAGGACGACCTCCACACGACAAAAAAAAAAAAAAAAAAAAAGAAACAAACAAACAAACAAACCAACAACAAAAAGATGAATTGCAGGCGTTGACATGCAACCCACACACACACCAAAAAAAAAAAAAAAAAAACACCTCAACTGAAAATAAATAAATAAATAAATAAATTATTCCGTGCTGTTGTGGTTTTCCCTCCTTCCACCGCTCCACCATCGCACTCACAGTAGCATTAAGGAAATTTCCTTCCAGCCTCTCAGCCTCCCTCTCCATTCATGTCTCCCCTGCCTTCCTTCGCAGTCGCGGCTCATTGCCCCGCATAAAGACAAGAGCAAAACTGCACACACGCATTGGAGAGAAATAATAATAATAATAATAAGCAGAGAATGAAGCGAGAGTATGACGGCAAATAAATAAATGAAAATATAAATAAATAAAGGAGGCTGTAAAGAAAGGCAATGCAAGGAGGCAGTAAAGCCCAAAAATTACTGACAAAAAAAAAGAAAAAAGAAAAAAAAAAAAAAAAAAAAGAAGAATATTTGAAAAAATGTTTTCTTCTTCTTTTCTTTTATCCTCCTTTTTCTCCCAATTCCTTCAGTTTTCCTCCTCATAATTTTACCCGCATTTTTTTTTTTCTCCCATTTCCTCCCCTTCGCTCTCCTTTTTTTTTTTTTTTTTTGTGTGTGTGTGTGTTTCTTCATAGCGCTTCACATTGTTTAATTCTCTTCATTTTTCCCTCTTGCCCTACTCGTTTGGCCCGTGATCACACGTATTGCATACACACACGCACGGACCTTCCTCGTGTCTTCAAGCCAACACTTCCATAGAAAGGGTACTCTTTTTTTTCTTTTCTTTTCTTTTTTTTTCTCTCCCCCCCTGTTTTCGCTTGTTATGTCTCATTTATTCTTTTCTCCTCTCCGTCACGCCGTGTAAAATAAAATTTTAGAGCAGCGCATGGCTCCACGGGCTACTCATCCTTAAGGGAAGCCAAAATGTTGTTTCGGATTGTGAGCATGTCACGTTTTTCGCCCTTTACATCGCCCTGCTTCAATCGTGCAATGCGGCCCAGTTCCATCTCCACGTACTCCGCGCCCAGCTGCAAAATCTTCTCCGCGATACGGGGGTAGTGCACAGCTTCCACACCGGTGAGATCCGCCGCCGCCTTCTTCACCTTCTCGAGGTACTGCTTCTTCTCATCCACACTCTTTTCCTTTAACATCATATCCCGCAGCACCTTTGAAAGCTCGTCGTTCACACCAACCTTCTCGGAAAGATCACCAGAAGGAAGACGATTCTTCCCGGTACGTTCATTGACATATTCAACAAGTTCTTCAAGGCTGCGGCCGCCACTGTAATACTGTGGCTCACTTTTACTCCTCTTTTGAAAGAATGCAAGTGTCGGATATCCGTCAACTTTATAGCGGTTTCGCACTGCACCGTTAGATGCATCATCAGCGTTCAGTTTTCCGATAACAATGTCCGCTTCCTCCTTGAACGCCGTCGCAAGACGTTCAAAAACAGGGTGGAGTTTCTTACAATGCCCGCACCATGGCGCGTAAAACATCACAAGGGCATCCTTTGCCTCGTCCATGACAACCGCATCAAAGTTTCTCTTTGTGAGCTCCACCGCGTACGTGTGTTCATGGGGAACGCCAATATTCAGGCCTGGAACTTGCCTGTTAAGAAACGACAAAAAGGCAGCGGCCTCACGGGCTTCACTGTATTGCTGTTTCGTCTGCGAGTCGGCAGGAAAAAATAAAATGGTTGGGTACCCGTTGACACCAAAGCGTTCCGCAAGATCCCTGTTTTGTGTGGCGTCCACTTTGCCGACAAGCACCTTGTCCCTCGCCGTCTTCACTGCCTGGCCCACTTTTTCAAATTCCGGCACCATTTTCTTGCAGTGCCCGCACCATGGCGCGTAGAACTCCACGAGCGCAGGAACCCCCTTCCCAACATGCTCGTCAAAGTTTGAGGCGGTGAGGTCCACAATGCCCTCCAGCGAGACGGAAGGGTCACCAGCACGCGCAACGGATGCCAACGTGGCAACAGCCAAAAGTAAAACCAAAAAAGACGTTGTGCCGGATGACAACTGAAACATGATGGATAAATTGCGCACTCAAATAAACAAAAAAAAAAATATTTGGATTGTTTCCCTTTTTTTTTTTTTCCTTTATGAATGGTTTGTTTGTTTGTCTCTCTTCCTGTAGCCGGTTGTAATTATTATTTTTTCCTTCTCTTTTTTCTCTTGTGTTGTGTGGGGGGAGAGAAAAAGTAGAAAAAAACAAAGAAAGAAAAAGAAAAAAAAAAGAATATCGATGTGGATGCTGCATGCACACGTTTATGCATTACCCTCCTTTCACTGCGGAAAGGGGAAATGAAGTAAGTGGACATTGGCACGTTGGGGTTGTTGTTGTTTCTTTTTTTTTTTCTTTTTTCTCAGTTTCCACACAAACACACACACACACACACGCGTACGTACGCAAACACACATCAAATCCCGCCCATTTTGATCACTCCATAAAATAATCTTCTGGGCCTCTGGCCAAATCCTGGAATTATCTACAAAAAAGAAAAAAAAAAAAAAAACACAAGCACGTTAGGGGAAAATGGGAGGTAAAGCAGAAAGCAGTGCATTGCCCAAATCTTTTCTTCTGAATAAATAAATATAAATAAATATATATTTTTTTGACCGCTCACGTGGCCTTGTGTCCTCAGGTAGGGCCTGAAGTACGCATTACTTACGACGTGGCAGAATTTGGGGTCCTCCAGTCAAAAGACCACGCCGCGTGGCGGGAATCAAAAAAGGGGGTGGTGGGTAAAAAGGTGAAAATAAAAAATAAATAAAAAAATTTTATCCGCTCCCTATCGGTCCCCTGCTGCTCTCCCCACTAAAGCCGTTGCCTTCCCAAGAATTCATACGGTAGGAAAAGCACCATAAAGAGGTGTATATTTCTCTTTACCAGGATACATGCATGTACACTAATCAAGTTCGCCGGCCCTCCCGCGACTATTCTCTTCAGAAATTCCTACTCCTAAAGGCAGCAGGACACCACCTTTTACACCACGGTGAAAGTGATGGTGCCAACAGGATACAAGTTTGCGTTGGTGTATATTAAAAGCATTAACTTACAGCGGAAAAAATAAAAATAAATAAATAAATAAATAAATAAATAAATAAATAAATGAAAGCAATCAAGCACAACATTTCGTGAAGCTTTTATATAATTTTCTGTTTTAGGTAAGCCATAATAGTCTCAGGGGATCGTTCTCCTTTGTAGCAAACCCCTTTTTTTTGAAAAGGCCGCACCAAAAAAAGGGAGGGATAAAAAGTCACGTTAAACCCTGAGGCCAGTTGTCGGAGCCGTTTACTGTCCATCTTGCCCACAATCAGCTTGGCTCTCAATGCCTCATCCCCCTGCACCATTGCAGCCAACTTCGCAAACTCCGGGGCAAACCTCCTGCAGTGGCCACACCACGTGGCGTAGAACTCTACAAAAACATATTTGGATTGGCCAATTATTTCGTCATAGTTGGAAGGTTGTAACTCGACCACGCCTTTCATCGCCGCACCCGGTCCATCGGCGGGAACACCCATCTCCTGTTCGTAAAAGTCATAGACTGTGTACATGTATACAAGCAACAAAATCAACAGTATAGCAATCTCTGTCGTGACCCAAATGAAAAGCGGAAGACACGTCTTCCGTGCCATCTTTACTTACGTATCTTCTTTTATATTTGTAATCTCAAAGCCCCGTGTTTGTTATTTCTCTGTTTGTTTTACTGTAGGTTAAAAGGAAAAAGTACCCTTCGCTATCAACGATAAATCTCTTTCTTTATTCCCTTTCCACTAGTAATGATGTACTTACCCTTATTGTGTTCTTAGCTGTCAATGACAAGCGCAAAAAAAAGGGGGAAAAAAAAAACTGAAAAAAGTACACTCCATCCTTCCATCTATTATTAACAGAAATTCACAAGTGATATCCGCATGGATCTATCTATCTATGTCTATCTATATATATATACGTCTGTATGTGTGAAGAGTACGAAACAAACAACTGCAATACATATAAATAAATAAATAAATAATAATAATAATAATAATAATAATAATAATAAGGATGCAGCTGTATTTATTCGCTCCATTTTTTCTTTTCTTTTTTCCTTTTCTTTTTTTTCCCTTTTTAAATATATACGTGTGTATTACTAAAATCGTCTGCTTCCTCTCCGTCTCTCATCTTCTCTTTTTTTCCCCACAGTTTCTCTGGTGGGTTTTATTTTGTTGTTGTTGTTGTTTTTTTTCGCTTCAATTTTTTTTTTTTTTAATTTTTTTATTTCCGTTCTTTCGCATGTAAAATAAACGATGGAGACAAATCACGACTGGCACCGCTCCCACTCTTTAGTCATCCTTTACACTGACTTCTTTCCAGTGACGGCTGGTGTTAGGGTCTTTTTGCCCTCTACGTCTTCCCCTGCCAATTGCCTCCGTAGCCTCTGCATCTCACGTGTTGACTCCTTGCGTTCCTCCTCTGGCACCAATTGCATCAGGCCCATCATCCCCATTGACACAAGCATCAAAAGAATCATGGGATTCATTAAAAAGTTCATAATACTATATTGCTCCCGTGGTACATAGTACGCATGTACACCCGTAAATGGAATAATAGCTGGCGATGCATCATCAAGCCCTGTCCCTTGCACAGGCACCATTGTACCGTCATTGATGTAGGTCCGAATAATCGGTCTAACGATGCCTTGTATCGTCTTCTGTGTGACGTCAACACGAACGGTTGGGTAAATAAAGTTGGCGTATTCTGCATGAAGGTGGTAGGCGCCATATGGAACGTCATGCAGGACAAATGAACCATCCATCTTTGTTGGCACGCGCATAATGTGTGCACCGTTACTGAGCACAACCTCCCCACCCTGCACACGCCACAGCGGGTCTGCAGAATCCGGGTGTTTATAAAAGTTTGGATGAATCAACAGACGGCCGTAATAAGTCGGCGTGGCGGGCAGCTGCCGCTCATGAGACTCCACCTCCTCTGCCACCGCAACAACGATACAAAACAAGAGAAAAAAATACAAAACAAAAAGAGCATTGCACCCCGTCCCCACAATCCCCTTCACCGTCCTCCCGGACCTCCCGCTTGCCAGCATCGTAACCCTATTCATAGATCCCATAACTTCCTACACGAGAAAAGACACGTCTTGTAATGTCACCTTCCCTTTCCTTTCGGTTCCCGTTTCTTTTTATCTTCTTCTTCCCTCACCCTCAGAATAATCCAGTGGGAAAAGAAGGATGTTAAAGTCCCACATGCATACATGCAAGCATAGAGGCGATAGAAGTAAAGAAACCATGGCGATGTCATTGCAAAAAAAAAAAAAAAAAAAAAAAAACGGAAAAGACACCTCCATTCCGGTGGATGAATACAAACAACAAATCCATCCAGAGGAAATGACATGCACCAAAAATACAAACAGAAAGAAATGGCATCTTCACAAACTGTATTTCCAATTTATTTGCAAGAACAAGCAAAGGATGAGAACACAGAGAGGCCACATACTCACACACATAAATGCAAATACGCACGCAAAGGAGAATAACAAAATGAAGAACTGGCATTCTATTGCACAACAAACATGATAAGCACTATAAGAATGACCACCAAAACCACAATGCAAATAATCTTTTTACGGTCACTGGCCGAGTCTAACAGTCTAGAAGTTTTCTTTACCACATTTTCCAGACGCATCTGCGCCCGCGTCATGCCACTGTCGATATCGTCCAGCACATGTTCTTGCGTGTCGAGTTCGTCCTTGACGTTCACTGCAGTCTCCCTCACACGACGTACACCTCCGGCGAGACGGTCGATTGTGGCCTCGTCGGCCTGCATGTACCGCTGCTGCGCCTCATGCTCCTGCTGCAAAAAGGCATTATTCTCCCGCATCCCGGCGTCGGTCGGAGAGAACTCGCCCCGCTGCGCCGCCGCTCGTCGTTGTCGTTCGGCGATAATCTTCGCCCGCAAGTCAAGTGCTTTTTTCATGTCACGCTCCCACGCACGTGTCTTCTCTGCGCGTGACTGCAGTTCGTCCGTTGTGATGGAAAACAACTCGGGGTGTTCAATCGCCGTGTCCAATGCAGCACGCATCTCGTCCACCTCCTCGGAAGCGGCATTTATGGAGTCAAACATCTCTTCCTCCGCAATGACGGTCGGGTGGGCAACTTCGCGGTACCGCTGCATCTGCACAATCAACCCATCCATCATCGCCTCGACCTCCTTCTCCATCCGCGGCCATGGGTCCTCCCCACGGCGTTGGCTCGTGGCACCAATACTCATCCGTTACCCTGCGCCACAATATAAAAAAGGGAAGAGGAGGAGGAGGAAAAGAAGAAAAAAAAAAAAAAAAAAAAAAAATAGAATGGGATAGAACTACTGTAAGCATCCATTCACATTGCACAGTCAAAATTAACATGATCCATCAGAAAGGTACAAAGAAATTTAAAAAAAAAAAAAAAAAAAAAAAAAAAAAAAAATAGCAAACACTTGTATAAATAAATATATTTATTTATTTTTATTTATTTTTTTTTTAATGAGGCAAAAAGAGAAATAATGCGCACCCCGACTGAGATCTCGTATACCCCCCGCATCCTCGCACAGGGAAAAAAAGGACACAACATGGAAATGGGGGAAAAACAAACATCCTGTCGGGGTCGCACTACTTAACAGTCCACACACCGAGGAAAGCATGCATTCAACATGTCACACACACACACACACACACAGAGAAAGAGAGAGAGAAAGAGAGAGAGAAAGAGATAAAAAGAAGAAG